GCAAGCGCTCCCGCTTTTGTTTATTTGTTTTTCTTTATTTAAGTGAAAACGGAGCTGGTGGCTTAAATTCCGGTTTTGTTTTCGTGTCTCGCCAGTTGAACAGCACATGGGGGGCGGGAAACAGCACCGAGGGCCTTTCCAGGGGGTCCGCGTGAAGAACTCGGTGAAGGAGCTCCTGCTGCACTTCAGGAGCAGCAAGCAGATGTCCTCGGGCTCCGCCGCGGAGGAAGGCAAGGTAACCAGCATTTTTCTGCGCTGACATAGTTGCTTTTAATGGTTACTGAAGCTGGCAAAAAAAAGAAAGAAAAAAAAAAAAAGGCAGGCGATAACGCTGGAAATGAGGTTGCTGCTTTATCTGATGTGGATGGAGTCAGTGTTCTTTTCAATATGTAATGGAAGAACAGAAGTAGGAAGAAATTGGTGAGGACGTTTACTACGGGAGAAGGAGGCACTTAAAAACGTTCTTACTAAGCTTTGTTTTCTAAAGGGAGTTTAGATAAAGATAGGCTTGTGTTATGAAACCACAGAAACTCCCTGTTAACTTGAATGAGGTCATTCATGGTGAGAGTTGGGGAATCTTCTCAGAAGAGGATCGTTCATCATCCTCTTGTGCTCCTCCGTATAAAGGCAGACCCCTCCAGTCTGGAAGGAAAGAAGCAGAAAAAAAAATGCGGGAAATTCTGGGAAGATTAAAGGGAATTTTTTTTTTTAGAATAGTCTTTCTGAGTGTATGTTTCTGAGCATCCTAGGTAAGTGTTGTCACAGGAAAATTTTTGCATAAAAAAAAGTTCATGGCATTAAAGAGGTGTAAAATTGACTGGCTTATTTGTGTTTAGAAAAAAGTAATCCTCAGACCTCAGTAAGGAGCACTGTCTTTCTCTAGGTTTTTTGGAGTTTTGTGGTATTGTAACAAATAGCTTAAAAAGCCTTAAGAAAAATGATGGGTTTGATTTAAGTTCCATAAAAGTCTTTCCATTCTCTAACCTTAATTAAAAGCAATTAAATTAGGGTTAGGCAATCATGTACTAGAATTATTCGAAGGTGTATTCTGTGTTTGTAGAAGCAAGTCACTGCTGCTTTCTTCTTGGTTTGGTGTTTTGTTTCCTGAAATAACATTATAGTAATGGAATAATCTGGATTTTTTTCAAAAGGCACAAGGAGGATTGGTGAACTACGAGCAGTACACAGGTAAACCCCCCCCTTTTTTTTTTAAATACTCTAATACTCTGAATAAGATTTTAAAAGTTGATTGTAAGAGTAACTGCCAATTGGATTCTAAACTTAATTTATTTTCTTTTCAGCAGAGCTGAAGAGTGTACTGGGTCACGGTGGCAAAAGAAAGGCTCCTGACCTCCTTTCTGATGGACCTTCTTTCAAACGCCAAGCTAATGTTCACCCACATCTCCTGGTAAGTTTGTAGGAATTTTTTCCGTGCCTTTATTTTTCAGTTTGCTTTGTGTGATCGAAAACTACCAGGGACAACTGCACCTCTTAACTTTCTGGGGCTTGTTTTGTTTTTTTCTTCTTTTTTTCTGACAGACGCCACCCCAGACACCAACTTCTATGGATAGCATGGAGGAGACTAATAAAAATGACCCAAAGCATGACAGCAATTCTGATCTGCTTCAGAGCATTATAAACATCAAGAACGAGTCGAGCCCGGTTTCTCTGAACACGGTGCAGGTTAGCTGGTTGCACACTGTCTGCAGTCACAGCTCGCCTGGTGAGCCATACCAGGACAGCCCGGGAACACAGGCTTTCTCCCCATCCCAGAAGTACCAAGCATTCCAAGATCACACCTCCCAGCATATGCTTGATCCGCCACAGCATTACCAGTTCCCTCCATCCCAGAACCAAGATTTGTCACAGAGCTATTCTTCAGATGCCTCCCTGGAGTACAGGCCGTTTGCAGCCAATGACCAGTCTCCTGGCTACCAGCAGAATACCTTTGAGAGCCATGAACTGCAGTACTGCCCATCGCAGAGCTTCTCCTCCCTCTTGAACGACTCGGAAGCCTCGGAGGGCATCTCTGTTCCTCTCCAGCCGCTGACCAGTGCCCACCCACAGGCTGAGGTCAGCCCCCACGCTCCAAACTTCAGCTTGCTTTCCACTAACATCTGTGACAGTCTGGAGCGTGGTGTCTCTTTGGCTACTTTGAATGTCTCCCTACCTGACCAAAACATCACTAGAAGCACGTCGCAGCTGGGCAAGTCATTTTTTCAATGGCAAGTGGAACAGGAGGAAAACAAACTGGCTAACATCTCTCAAGACCAGTTCCTAGCAAAAGACTCAGATGGAGACACGTGAGTGCTGTTTATCTCTGTTTCTGGTGTGGAAGGTTGGGGAATGTTCTCTGTTTGGGTTTTGGTGGGTTGCAGTGGAAGCAGTTCATTAGCAGTGTTGGTGTCACGAGTGCGGTAGTTTTGCTAATCAAGTGAAGTGTGGTCTTCGTGATGGGCTGGGATCCACAGAGTTGCAGCACGCTGAGTAGATAAGGTGTTTGTATTGTCTAATTTCAGGTACTTATCGTTACACTTTTATCTAGTAAATGGGGAGAAAAAGATTCTAATTTAGATGCTTTAAATTGCCCTGAGAAGACGGTACCTGTGTTCTTGTCTTAGTCACACAGAGGAGGCCTGAAGCTGGTGGCGTAACACCCCTCCCATATGTCTGGATCTCTGTGATGACTCGAGCCCTAGTTTGTACGGTGGTGTAACTCTGTGTTCCCCTCTTTCCCACAGCTTCCTTCACATTGCTGTTGCCCAGGGCCGAAGAGCACTCTCCTATGTTCTTGCAAGGAAGATGGCTGCCCTGCACATGCTGGATATTAAAGAGCACAATGGCCAGGTGAGGTTCTCAAAATCTTTGCACCTGCTTTGTGCACCTGAGTGCTTCTCCATCTCTGGATCTTGAGGAAGATGTGGTGAAACGCTTATTTAATATTAACCCTGAGATTTAGCCTGCATACTAATATTAACCTTGAGCTGTTGATACTTCTTGGGATCACCTTGAGCTGGTGAAACTATGTGCTCTGCTTCATTTGTCTGGCTTCCCGGTATTCATAATCGCTGCTTAAATAATACTGAGTAGCTAGGCTTTTTATTTGCTTTAGTTGCTCTTTCCTGTTAGAGATCAGATGACTAATAGCTTAATTTTTCTTCTCTATGTTTGCAGAGTGCTTTCCAGGTTGCTGTGGCTGCCAATCAGCATCTCATTGTGCAGGACTTGGTTAGCTTGGGGGCTCAAGTCAACACAACAGACTGCTGGGGTAGAACACCGTTGCATGTTTGTGCTGAGAAGGGGCATGCCCAAGTCCTTCAGGTAAGAACCAGGTGGGCATAGCTCTGCCCTGACCGTTAACGCTTGTACGTCGTGTTAGTTGTCTTGGGAAACTCTGAAAACACCACTCCTCCCTTTATCTTTCTGTGTTAGCCTTGTGAGTATGTGTCAGGGCTCTACAGTAATAGCTTGAAGTGAAACTGAATTTCTCATTAAGGTTCTCACCAGTGTTTTAAGAATAATTTAGTGGAATCCTATAGTCTAAGAAAACAGTAAGTCTCCTCTTAACGTCATTATTTATTGCAACTTTGTTGCAGTAAGCCTGTATACAAGCTTGAGGAAGCAATCTGTGGTTTGGATAAGACCTAAATGCATACCTGTTCCCACTTTTGTAGGCGATTCAAAAGGGAGCCATGGGAAGCAATCAGTATGTGGACCTTGAGGCAACAAACTATGATGGTGAGTAGTTAAGAGTTCATAATTTACAGAGTTACTGGATGTTACAATGTTTTATAGCTTCTGATGTAAATGTTATCCTGGGTTGAGAAGCAATAAAATGGAGCATATCTTTGCCAGGTTGAAACTTACAATTACAGTTGAAATTGCATTACAATTGGCATATCTGTCAGATAGAAACATCATTAGTCTGTGCCTGTCAGGACCTCTTTCCTCATACGTGTGATTGCCGTGGTTGGCATGGAGAGTGCAGGTAGTAATTGGCTCTTCTTTAAAACGCTTGAGTGCCGGCAATACATCAGTGGATACAGAAGCCAGAATCTCTGCCAGCAGAGATCTGTTTTATTTGAGCCTCCTTTCCATAGAACAGCTCTTTCTAACGTACATTGCGTAAAAAAAAAAACCCACAACAAAACAAAAAAAAAAACCCAAACAAAAAACCAAACCAAAACAAAAAAACCCAAACAAACCCACAAAAAACAAAACAAAAAAGAAAACCAACCAACAAACAAAAAAAATAGAAATTGATTCTTTCATTATCTGCTGGCTGAGAGCTCACAGTGGTGCTCACAGTAGTGCTGCTTAACTCCTCTGACAGACAAACCAAGTCTCAAGCCACTTGGCAGCGGTCACGGTCACTTACAAACATGAAACTGTCCTTGAGCATGATGGGGGTAGAAGTTTCTTTATCCATCCTTTGAAACAAGCAGCCAATCAATACTTCCGTATTGCATTTGTTCATTAATGATTTTTTTTTAATGTTAAGGTTTGACAGCATTGCACTGTGCTGTTCTGGCCCATAATGCTGTGCTGCATGAACTACAAAACAGTCAGCCCCCTCACTCCCCTGAGGTCCAGGAGCTTCTGCTGAGAAACAAGAGCCTGGTAGAAACCATCAAGACTCTGATACAAATGGGAGCCTCTGTTGAAGCGAAAGTAAGTGACATGGCTTTGTCTGAAGTGCCAGGTCCGGAGAGAACGTGGAAGTGAAGCATGTCCCTTTCTCTCATGCCACATTTCAGCTTTATTACAAAGGAAGTAGACTAATTTGAAAGCTTCCCTACAGCTTAACTTACCCAAGTGGAATGAGAATGTTGCATTTATTCAGAGAGGGTATTATCAATGCAAATGAACTCTGGGGAAAGAGGGAGGTGACAGTCTTAATTTCTAGATTAAGAATGATGCTATGCTGGCTGCAGTTGGTTGTGTCTTAAATGTAAGAATATGTTTGGAGCACTCTGAGCTATCTGTGGTAGTCGAGTGCTGATGATACCTTGCTCTTGAACTGCAAATGTTAGTTAAAAACTATTGACCTGTCCAGTCTTGGTCTGTGCTGGGCCAGACCATTACTTGATATAACATTAGATACTTTGGCTATGTCAGCTTACTGCTAAATGAGATCTGGTCCGTTGTTCATTAAACATGCATACTAAAATAGATACTCAGATTGACTTCCACTGAATCGTGGTGCAAATGTGTTTGTTCAACACTCTGTGGTTACTCTGCTTTCTGTTTTATTTGTCTGCATGTTCACCCTGGATAGGTGAAGCACCTGCAGGAAAGACTAACAGTTCCTTTTTTGGTAGGATCGCAAAAGTGGTCGCTCAGCTTTACATTTGGCAGCAGAAGAAGCAAACCTGGAGCTCATTCGTCTCTTTTTGGAGCTGCCCAACTGTCTCTCTTTTGTTAACGCAAAGGTATGGTGATTTTTCCAGAATGCAGATAGAGATAATCTGGGATGTGCAGACGTGTGGCACCATGAGTGTCCTGAGATTCATGCCTCTTGCCTTTCCTTCACGGAGTTACTTTGTCTTTTCCAGGCTTACAATGGCAACACAGCACTCCACGTGGCTGCCAGCCTGCAGTATCGGGTGAGTCAGTTGGACGCTGTGCGCCTGCTAATGCGGAAGGGAGCTGATCCAAGTGCCAGAAACTTGGAGAATGAGCAGCCAGTTCATCTGGTTCCTGATGGCCTTGTAGGAGAACAGGTAAAAAACCCAAACAACCCTCTCCTCTGCTCCCATCTGTCCCCATCTACACAAAAGCCTTATTCCTCTTCAAAAGTTTCTTTTGGGTTTTGAGTTAAAGCTTTTAAGGAAAAGATTTAGCAAATGCCATTTTAGTTGGGAGTCTTTAGTTTTAATGTCAATATCAGGCAGAATATACAAAGACCTGAAATTACAGGTTTCACTTGTAGCTTTTATTTTTTCCATCTCAAAAGCTTTTTCCTGTCAAGATAGATTTTTTTTTTCCTTTGTAACCTTGCAACATATTGAAAGTAACATCCCTTCTCGTTGTCTCAGTGTGGCCTGAGATCACGCTTTTGTTTCTCTTATCATAATGAATGGCCTTTCTTAGGCCTGAGTAACAGATGAAGAAAATCCCTTTTTCCTAGGAGCTGTACAAATAAGATGATGAAAAAGGTGACTCTTGACCTAAGAAGCTAGTAACTTAAGCAACTTGGTAATTCTGTTGCCTTTCATTGGTTCAAATGCTGTAAAATTGGATCAGTTCTGGTGTAACTGAACTCAGAGCCTAGGCTCAGATGAATGAGGAATGCAGAACTGGGTGTAGCTTTTTTTTTTTTCGGATTGACTAGCTTTAGTATGATGAATACTAATGTTTTTGTCTGTCTTTTCTGCAGATAAGACGTATCCTAAAAGGGAAGGCGATCCAGCAGAGAGCGTCGCCATTTTAAGCTCCATGTTTCTTGGAGTGCAGCAACTCACACTCACTGTCAGTCAGGCAGTCCTAATGTATCTGTAAATAGACCATTTGCCTGATGTGGGCAAATGTTAGTTGTTTCTATGAAACAAAAGTATTTTGTTCACTATCATATAGTGGGTTATATATGAGTAAAAAAACCCCAAAACCCAACAATAAAATTCCTCTGAGCAAATGGGAATGTTTCATTCCCAAGTGTGTGGAACATTTGCCTGGATACCTGGTTTTCATAGCTACGGGAAGACTGATTTTGTTTAAACAGCCATACGGATAACTTCTGGACAAGGACAATTCTACAGGAAATCTTTTTATTTAGAGAGGGCTGATACGTGTCAACGTTGCAGAGGTTTTTTGTGTGTGTTTTTAACACTTAAGTGCAAAAGAAATCATTTATTTTTGAAGTTGAACCTTTATTTATGTAACTGTGTAGCTTTTTTCCAGTATCTTGTGCAGGATTGTATATAGTCACTGGCATTATTGTACAGCTGTATAGTTCTAAGAACCTATTGATCGCTTGGGCAATGAACTGAAGAAACAAGTTCCTTGATCTTGAATTTGCAAATTGCATGTAGAGTTTTAATACTGTACTGGTGCAAATTGGGTAAATTGTGTTGTTTTGAACGACTGAAGACCAAAAGTACAGTTAAGATGGATTGTCCTTAGCACTGATTCATGCATGCTTTTGGAGTTGTTAAGGAACGTGAAAAGCCGTGCTGCTTCAGGTGACTGTATCAGTTTTTCTTGTACCCAGTAGAGGGGTGTTTTTTCTGATGGGGCAATAGGTTGAGGGAGAAAGATCATGACTTTTTATAGTGTGTATATAACTTCGTTGTACTTCAAGGAATATGATCCTGATTCAGTGAAGGTATTTAGCATGTACTTAACTGTTGATGCATGCTAAAATATCTCCATGTTAATTATAATACTGCAGCATGTGTAAGCCCCGCTAGTCTCAGTAGGACTTGCGCACATAAGTAGTTTGCTGAATTGGGCTCTAGTTGATCCTAGAGACTTAGTGTTTTTCACCTCCTAAGCAGAGTTAGTCCATTTATGGTTTTACCTTATAGGTATAGTGGCTAGCGAAGTAAATTTGAAGTTAACATTTTTGTATTTTTTAATAATTATGGATATTAATGCAAAATGTATGCTAATGATGCTGTGTACTTATGTTCTGTTGGAGGAAACTTCCTCCTTCTGTCACTTTTTGAATGATCCTTGCTGGGCTGTAATCCAGTAATGTTCTCTGTATGCTCTTTGTTCTTAAACTGTTTTTGCATCACGTGCAATTCTCTGCCATAACTGTTTAATTAGTCTGTGCTGTTTTGACAAAATATGTGTTGTAGACAGGCTAGGTGAAAAAAATCTGATATGTGGAGGCCTAGTTGCGATGTATTTCTTGGTCTTATGTAACTTGTGTTTGAATAAACATGCTAATTAAATTTTGGTGGTTACTGTCTGTGATACACAAATAATGATGATGAAATCAAGCTTGAGATAAAACTGATTTAGCGTGGTAATACTGTGAGAGTGGTGAAAGTGTGTTTAAGGATGAAATGAAGTCTTTCCATCCTGCTGTTTGTTCTTCCTTTTTCCTGATTTTGAAGCTGGTGCTCAGGTATCTTGGGTCATGTATCATGCAGTTGTATTGCCTGGGTATTTAGCAGATGTGCTCCAAATAGACTTAGCAGTCACCAAGTCGTCCAAATTGCAGACTGTTACCTGAACACTTGTCCCTGTATGCTTGAAAGAATGACAGCAGTTCTGACAATGCCATGTTTTCCCCATGAATTCATTGCCTTGGTCCTCAATCAATTCTTACAGCTCAGGTACAAGCAGTCACCTTAGCACAAGTGGAAGTCAGCATGAGTGAATGAGGCTACACACATGGACAGACAGTCCTTGCTTCCCAAATAAAAAGATGGGCTCTGAGTTGGCTGTGACCTTACAGGAGGAAGAACTGTCATCACATACTGTACTTGCTGAGCACTGAGCTGGTGAGAAGGCAACAGTCAAGAAAAGTGGATGAAGCATTAGGATATGTAGGAAAGGAACTGAAGAAAACCAAGAGTGATTGTATGCTACTGTATAAACCTGTTGTCCACCTCTGCCTTACTGCTGTGTGTGGTTAGGGTGTCCCCTCAGATGAAAGTGTTTTAGGATTGGAAGAGGCCCAGAGGTGTGGAGGACCTTCCTTGCAGGGAGCAACAGAGCAAGCTAGGGCTCTTCAGCTGCAAAAGCAATGTCTAACAGCAGGTATGATGGGCCTGCAGAGCCAGAGAAACGATTGGGATGAACTGCTCATTGTCCCTTCCAGCATGAGGGCTGGAGGCTATTAATGAAGGTACTAAGTACACAACAGACAACAGATGTGATTCAGTGAGATAGTGGTAGAATGTGGTAGAAACAAAACCTCTCTGGGAGAGAGGTAGAATGTGGTAGTAACAAGGAGTCAGCTGATGCAGGGAGGGCCTCCGTGCATACTTAGAAGGACCTTTTTCTAGAGAGCCACTAAAAAGTTTAATGTGAGGCAATCCCCTCTGCGTTGAAGGGCGAAGTGCTGTACTGCAGGCTTGCCCTGCTCTCAGCTCTTCTCTGGGGACTTCCTGATGGACACTCTCGCAGACCTGATACCAGACTAGATTATACCCTTAAATCATTGTGGTTAGGCTTTCAGTGGCTTGTGGGTTCAGTCTGGCTCCACTAGTATTGGTTGCACATTTCATTGATAAAAACATAGGAAAATAATCTTGCAGCCAGTTGAGTCCTTCAGGGGAGTGCTTGGACATCCTTCACTCTGCTCCCGCTTTGTGTGAAAACTCATTCCTGGAAGTCTCAAAAATGGCTTTTGGTGCTAAGGTAAGGTGATGTAGAGAGGAAGCTGTACGCTGTTTAGCAGATAAGTGGGAAATGATGATAGAGACTGGAAATGGAATTTAATTTCTAGTTAGGGTATGCGAAAATGAAATGGCACCTCTTTATGTGAACAGCTAGTTGGGCCTAGATCGTGTTGAAGATGCTGTCATCTGCACCTCTTGCTGCGAGTGGCCCTGCCTTAGGTCTTTTTTTTTTTTTTTTTTTTTTGTATGATGAGCCTGATAGTACTATTTCCACTTCATTTCCGTTTTCTTTTTAAGAGATGATTACACAGGAAAAAGAATTGCTGATGAGGTACTCGGGCCCTTCAGATCAGCCTGATCTGACTGTCTGGCACTCCTTTCTGGGTGATGTTGACTGAGTCATCTCACAAAGGGATAAAGTACCTTGGGCTTGTAAGAGTGGCAGAGCATAAGCATGTGTTCAGTCAATGTTTGAGCATGAAGTAGGTGCTGCTGGTGAGAGGTGTTTAGCAAGTGGTGCGGTACTTTCAGCACCACTTGTGTCCCTCTGGAAGGGGCCCTCCTGGCACTCCAAGTTAGAAAATTCATAAGGGACGTCTGAAGTGTTTGGAGCTAATTTAATCTGCCTAGAGCATAATTTCATTGTCTCAAGAGCTCAGTAGGCAGTTTCACAAGAAAGCATCCCTAATCTGTGTATAACTGACTCGTTTCTGTCTCCTATGATACTGGGAAGATGTGCTGTATCTGACATAGTATAACTAGTTATTAGAAAGGGCAAGTGACACTAAGTATTTAGCAGGCTAATAGCGTTTACTTGAAAGCTTATGGTGCTGGGAAAGTGCCGAACAATTTTATTGATGTGGATGGAGGCACACCATTTCTTTTTCTGGTTGGAGTAGAGACAGAAGAGACTCTGGCTCGGGTCCGAGTAGGGATGTTAAAACACAGGAAGCTTTGTTCCCAGGATGTTTCTGATTTGTTTGTCTAAGTAAGCCAAACCTCAGGAAAGGATTCCTTTTTGATTTTTGTGGGCTACTAGTCTGGCTAGAGTTGTGGAAGGTGGCAATCCGTGATTTACAAGAAATGTGTTCTGCTTCTGGGGATGGAAAAAGTAAATTTCCCACATTTATTGCTCATTTCATATTTTTATCAGAAAACAAAGACATTGCCAGAAAGTGTTTTCTTAGAGAGGCTGGGTGTGGTAGAAGTGACTGCAAAGATATGACATGAACTGCTTGTTGTTCTAACCTGATAGTTTGCTTATCTGATTGCCTTTCTTTTAAAAATATATAAGCTTTCCTGCGTAAGGGAAGAGCTGAGGATGATTAAAGTGTAGTGAACATGGGAAGATAAAGAGCAAACCCCTGTAATCAAGTATCTGCCAAAAATTGACCTGGTCTTTCAGTGCATTCAAAACAAATTCTTTGTTGTTATCTGTTGCCTTTCTTGAGTGTTTGGTGGTGGTCTTGGCCTGAGATGCTGATGGCTTGGGAGAGTCACACAACTGACTTCACAAATTGGTTGTCATCTAGCTCCAATAATACTATCTGTCACTTTTCATGATTAGGACAAGGACCAGCATTGCTGGTGCAGACACTAGCCTGTGCCTGGGTTTAGAAAGGCAAGAGGCACCCCCTGATGTCAGGGCACCTTTCAAGCAGCATCCCACCTCCCTTCCCCTCTGCCCCTGAAGCTGCAGCAAGGGCTTGCCTGGCAGCATTTTGTGAAGAATGAGGAAGCCTCTCTTAGGGTCTTTGAATTTCTTCTAAAAGATGAAGCACTATTTTGAGAGGAGAAAGGTTTAGTTTGCTCAAGGGATGGACTGCTGATACTTCTGCCTCTAAATGAGGCAGATCTATCCCCTAAATGAATTTGTTCCTGACAGGTGGCCATGCTTTCTGGGAATGCTCATCTGTACACAAAGCCCATATGGGCAGCTCTGTTTCCTGACATAATTTCTCAAGTGTTGCTGGCTAATGGACCAGTGTCTAATCTTATAGTACTTCTCTATATTCAATCACCCATAGCAAAAAACCCAAGGCAGCACTCATGAAACTGGGAACTGCACTAGGGATTTGATGGTTGGTTTCTCCTTCAGGTTGGTTCTTTTCAAATAGTTGGATTTGGGGATTTGTTTCTCCTTTAGGTGTCTGTCTTGGTCTTGCTGGAAAAAGGTAATATATCTTGGGCTGTGTTTGTTTAGTGTGTATTTGTTTTCAGCTCTTGTGATTAAGAGGCTGACTCAGTAAGCCTTTGTTTTACCTGGTAAATGTTACTTTTAGCTATGAAAATCTAGG